TTTGATGCCATTTTTGACGCTCCTGGAGTAAGGGCAAATATTCACGCACCCATCGCTTCCAGAATAGGTCAGCAATAGGGTTGGGTATCGTTTGAATTTGAACGATTCTGATTCCGATTCCGATTCCTTGTTTCGATTCCGGTTCCTAACGATTCTCGATTCCGATTCTTTTAAGAGGCAGAGTCAAAAAAGTTTAGCTAAGCTTGCTAACCAACGGCCTTTCTGAAGGAAATAATCCTTTCTGAAGGAAATACTCCTTCTGTAAAAATACTCCTTTTGTCACAAATTTTGCATTTTGCCGAGATTTCGTTATTTTTAGAAAAGCGAAGCCATACTTTGGATCGCCGACGTAAGGTACTCATGTTCGACTCGCGTGGTTATGCCAACACTTCCGGTAGACGCTTCCAGGGACGTGCACAGGGGGGTTGCTCAGGTTGCCCGGGCAACTGCCCATATGCCCTTCTCGACTCAGGTTGCCCTTCCGAGGGAAAAAAAATCGTACAATGGATGTAGAATTTCACGTAGGCCTAGACAACAAAATAATATAAAAATCGCAAAGCCTCATTCACTTCCATTCGGGCACTGAAAGGGAAAGTCAAACTGTTTACGTGGCTGCAGTGCCGCACGCGACCATAGACTGCATGGCACCGCAAATTACTCAGGCCGCGCCTCCATCTCGTGTCGCGCGCTAATTAATGTGTACGAAGTCCATGACAAAATGAAGCGAAACTATCCTTCTCGTCACGAAAAGAGGAAGGAGAAAAACATGAGAGTGAATTGCGGGAACAGCAGTCAGGTAAACTTGTGTTCTCTCCTCTCTAGTTTGATGTCAGCAAAGTTTGATGGTTTTTGGTCTTGCTAACCTATCTGGGCAGGCAGTGCATGCATCACTTTTTGCCTGACAAAGGTGAGAGTAAAATACCATTATTTATTACGTTTTGCTTTTTATAAATGACAAAGTGCAACAACAGTGTTTGTTTACTACAGCTCGGAAAACATAACCGCGTCGCGTGTGTTGCGTTCATATGCGCGTGCACGAAATTAAACTCGCATTTTTCAAGCAGAAATGTGGAGACCAGAAATACTGTCAATACGTGAATGATGGCACTCCCAATCAAAGTACACATTATAAAGACACTGATTATCTAGTCTCAGTGTAGTTAAAAACTCTAAACAACTGCACTAATTATGCAAGATATAAAGCAATGTATTGGCAATTTGACATTGATTGATTATTGATTTATAGGCTATATTGAATTTAAAATGATGATTAGCTGGACATTCTGGTCAATATGAATGCAAATCCCTCAGTAAATAACAATAAATCAAGATTTGCTTCAACATGCATAAAAAAAATAAATAAATAAAAATCATAGGCTGCTGATTCCGAAAATACCCAGGCTGTAGAGTGAAACAAAATTAATCCCAAAAGCCAAAGTTCAGGGTTGTACTTTATTATTTTCTTCTTATTTATGTTTACGTTAATATTCACTTGTTATCTTAACATTCTATAAAAATGCTTTATTCAGTAAATATTGTTTGTTTGAACCTCATTCTGTTTTATATTGTTGTACTTGTTCTTTGACTGTTTTGTTTAAAGGAGGGAGGATTGTATTGGGCGGTATTGAGTGGCAATGGCAAATGGTTTACATGGCTCACGGCATCACAGATCAGGTAGAGGGCCCCATAGCAGAATTTTGCTTAGGGCCCCAGGGGGAAGTCAGGATTGGCAAAAAAGGATTGTATTTTTTCCTGAAATCTAAGCGTTTTTTTATTTTTTCGAGTTTTTCCCATTCAATCCAGATTATTTCTTTTCAAATAAATAAATAAAAATAATTCAAAAAAAGAATAAACAACAATATGAGGAACTCTTTTGCTTATTTGTCTCATCTCTGACATTTTGCAATCTTTATAAATAATAATAAGACCATAAGATGAGGCATTGCGTTTGGACATAAACACGGCCAGATAAGGCAATTTGGAAGGTGACAAATTCAACTGAATATATTCCTTCATATAGCCCGTGAGGGGGGAGGAGGAGGGGGGTGCCCTTTTTTCAGGTCAGAGCAACTGCCCCTCAAAATTCCTGTGCACGTCCCTGGACGCTTCTTCGTTGGTGTTGTTCAGCGGTTTCTTCTTCCGCTCGGCGGACTGTGAATATCGAAACTAGGAATCGAAATTTTAACTTTTGAACGATTCCGGAAAAAACAAAAAGTTAGTCTCGGTTCCAATCGATACTCGATTCTCGATACCCAACCCTACCCAGCTGGCATTTTAACGTTGATTCACCGGTGAAACAACGTCAGGGACCAAGGTTGGATCAACATTGGATTATGTTTCGATTTTGCAAATCTAATCAACGTTGATTTTGCAACGTTGTTTCACCGTTGACATCATGAATGTTGTTTCACTGTTGATGTTGCGACGTTGTTTCACGATCTCTCCTTTCAATATTGGTGAGTAAAAGTTGTGTCGAAGTTAAACCAACATTTAATTATGCTTCAGTTTTGCAAATTGAATCAACGTTGCTATCGTGATATTGTTTCAGTCTTACCTTTCAACATGGGAGAATACAATTATACATTAAATTACAACGTAGTTTGAATACACGATCATAACAATGCTAACTGATTTAGTGATTAACTGTACATACTGTAGTCTACACTAAAACATTGTTTAATGTCAAATGACTGACAGCAATGGCTTAATTACAAACACATTTAATAAAGAGTTAGCACATGCTCAAGATTGTAAAACAAGTTTTATTTTGGAAAACAAAACAAAAAAGTCTAAAAATTCTTTCTACATCTGAAAACTTTAACTTGCAGTGTTTTCAAAGTAATGTTAAAGTAAAGTACAAATCTGAATGGAATACTTAAAAGACAGTTTTTGTTCAATTACAGTAAAACTTAGATGAAATACATTTAATATTTTAAGTGTACAGTAACAGTAGAAAAACTTAGCATCTCAATAAAATGCGACAGCCTTTTGCATTGCTCTAGTAGAGTCCCAGCTTGAGGTCTGCTCCGATGCCATCGCTTCCTCTTGCTCCCTCTTCACTTCTTGTCTGCTCTCTGTACGATCCTGTAGCTCATAAATAAAAGCAAAAACAGTTAAAACTGAATACAAAATTATTTACAAGATTTTCACTTACACTGTTCAATAACAGTCGAGTTGAAAAAGTATACAACACTATCCAAGGCATGTTATGTATTCAGATGTAAATGTACAATATCAACCATAATTAACAAGCAGTTCTTCAGAGCCCCAAGGTGGAATTGATTGCTGCTTAATATTAAAGGTCACTTTGAAATTAATTTTTGATATGTTTTATCTTACCCCAAGGGCATCCAAGATGTAGGTGTCTTTGTTTCCACAGTATTTTCAATTTTGACATTTTTAGGTCAAACCATTCTTGTCTGTCAGTCATATAATGGAGGTCTATGGTCACCACCTCAAAGAGCATGCAAAGAAGTCCAGATTAAACATGATTTAACGACTCATAAATGTAAGTACACATTGATGGCCTAAGACACGAAACGAACGGTTTGTGTGAGAAAACCAACAGTATTTAGGCCTATATCGTTTTTACCTCTTGTAACCACAGCCAAGTCCAAGTGATCTGAAGGCATAATCGGTCTGCGCAAGCGCCGGAAGTGATTCATTGTTTACACAGAGAATCTCTGTGTAAAAAATGAATGACGTACACACGCAAGAGATCACTCCCGGCGCATGCGCAGACCGAAGCGCCCGTGCCTTCAGATCAGTTGGACGTGGCTGTGGTTACAAGAGGTAAAAACGAAATAAATACTGTTAGTTTTCTCACACAAACTGCTCGTTTCGTGTCTTAGGCCATCAATGTGTACTTACATTTACGAGTCATTAAATCATGTTTAATCTGGACTTCTCTGTGCATGCTCTTTGAGGTGGGCCCCATAAATCTCCATTACACGACTGACAGACAAGAACGGTTTGACCTAAAAATGTCAAAATTGAAAATACTCTGGAAACAAAGACACCATCTTGGATGCCCTTGAGGTAAGATAAAACATATCAAAAATTAATTTCAAAGTGAACTATCCCTTTGAACCGTGATTAATTTTTTTAGGATTCGTTGAAAGTTCAAGAGAAAAGCAATTAATTAAAATATATATATGAAGAGTTCAGATGCAAAAGCCTCTAAATGCCATTTGAAATTTTCTTCTTTAATGATGATTTTTATCAAGCTTGTATATTTAAGTTCAGTAATTTCACTTAAATAACAATTTGCCATTTAAGTGAAATTACTGAACTTAAATATACAAGTTTGATAAAAATCATCATTAAAGAAGAAAATTTCAAATGGCATTTAGAGGCTTTTGCATCTGAACTCTTCATATATATATATTGCATTACTATAAATGTCTTTACTGTCACTTTTGATCAATTTAATGTGTCCTTTCTGAAGAAAAGTATTTCTATTTTATATTAAAAAAAATCATATTGACCCCAAACTTTTGAACGGTAGTGTACATTTTTATTAAATTGAGTAAAATCAAATCATAAAAGGTCAATGAATGCATACCAGAAGTGATAGCAGCTAAAGAAAAATCCTCCACCAAATTGCCAGTAATCATATGGATCCTTGGTGAGTCTGGAAGGGGAAACAAGAAATGATTCAATGAAAAGCTCTAAAAAAGCCCTAAAAAAGCAGGATTTTTTTTTTCATTCCATAAACAGTCTTAAAATGTATTTAATACTACAAACGTTTGCCATTATAACACATTCACACAACATGAACAGAGTACTGTCATCTTTGAGACTGTTAGTTATTACATGATTAAAATGTAAACGCATATTTAAAGCATGGCAATCCCATCAGAAAAATGTGTATCATAGAAAGGGAAGCACACAAAAAAGCCAACTGGTACATCAAAATCAAGCCATAATATAATGTTACCTGCAGCCTTTATCCTGTTATGACATGTCTGAGGGTCTTTCCCTTAATGTTTTCCAGTGAGTTAAAGACAGGACTGATGAAGGTAGGTGACATGACCTTTCACTGCGGCACGTCAGAGGAAGAAAGACAAAAGTACAAAAAGTTACTCAGACTTTCTATCAGTAAATGTCTTTCTTTGATGATGAGAATCATACTTTATACTTTATATTAATCCCAGTGTAGGTTTTCGAAAGAGTGTGTAAAATTGACAAGAAACAAAACAAAAACTTACTGTAGTTGGTGGATTTGTCTCTATTTGGGTGTTCTCCCCCCGAAAAAATCATATTCCAATGCTTAACCTAAAACAAATATAAACAAATATAATCATTGGCAGTTATCAGTGTTCTTAGAGGTTTTGAACTTCTAACGAATAAATTACGATTTTATCACTTTATTCCGAGACTAATTACCTCTCATGCATTTAAGCTAACACAAACCACCAACAACAACGCACAGCAGTGTCAGATGGTAACGTAAGATACATGAATAAACTTAATAATAGGTGTTTCTCAATGTCAAGGATACTTCCTTGGCAGGACGGGTCCTTCCAAGTCATTTCCTTCAGAGGCTAGGCAAGGGTCCTCTTTAGCGTTCGGAGAACATGTAAATGGAACAGGCTAGCAAGTGCACGTCATTGCGTCATTACATCAGTGAAAGGTCCGCTTCGGCGCTGCAAAAATCATTGTGCTGGTGTACTGCACTGTTTAAATACACTTGACAGTCCTTATTTTGTCTTGTCAGTCCTCATAGAAATAAATATATAAAGGGATAATGTATAACCAGGCGGTTGTTATAGTGAATACAACCCCGCAAACTCTAAAGCAGAGGGGTCTTGATCAGCCGGTTGTATTCGCTGTAACAACCGCCTCGCTATACATTTTCCCACTTATAACATAACGTTACCTACCAAATAAATCAATAATTTGACACAAAATATTGATTTTAAAAAGGAGTTTATTCATTCAAAAACGATTATATTACCGGAGTTAACAGAACTACCTCCATATAGCAACATGATCTAGCTGTTAAAACACATGCAATTGTAAAATATGTGACCAACAAAAAAGGCTATGAAGTAAAAATTAAAAAGTTAATCACCAGTAAAAGGGAACAGCTTTAAATCCCCTCAGCAAATTTGAGCCGATATGTTAAATAGTTTAACAAACATTAAATAAATGGCTAAACTGAAATTATACTTTACATTTGAAAGCATATTGCCGTTATCACTCCGACTCCGCTAACGGTCGACATTTTTTATTTTTTGAACAAGATAGCAAAGCTGCGCAAGTGCGCATAGGATTGTGGGTGATTTAAGAGCGCGAAGGCTACACATATGCATCCTTTCCTGTGTATGGGATATTTTCCGAACGAAGGACTCAGTCCTTGGTTGAAATTCTGAGGATCCTCGACATTGGAACAGTCCTTCGACGGACGTCGATGACGTAGCATCCTCGAAATTCCGGCTTCCGAGGATCCTTCCTTGACATTGAGAAACGCCTAATATCTCTAGCGCGCTTCACTGATGCAGTAGAAAAACACTCATTTGCAGGCTGCTGCATTAGGCCTATGTCCGTTACCAGTTTGTAAAAATCTTGTCTACAGACAGTAAAAAATGAAGAAAATGATCTTCATTAACGGGTGATTATCAGTTAGCGTTACCCACAAACTAAATTTACACTCTATTCAACAGATTTCAACAGAACAGAACGTTAATACCTTTTAAACATTTATTGATATTTGTTAACATATCTAAAGTGAAACTGTGGTAACGACATAGTACATTAAGGACAGGAACATAAAGTTTAACGTTCACGTTAGACTGTTAAGAATAAAAAATGTTGTCTTACCTTTAGTGATTTCGCCAGTATTTTTACAGACCACGTAACATTACGACCCCATCCTCTGTTCACATTCCAGCTTTTGTCCTTCATTGACATATCACAACTCAAATTCGCTCAAAATAAGAATTTAACAAGAATTTTTAAAATAATCCGTGTCCGACGGGGTAATAATCAGCAGAGCAGATGCTCACCTCATACCGACTCAAACAATAACGGACGTATTTTCAAACTTAAAATAGGCGCGCATTTTGTCATTGGCCAGTTTCCTGGAAGACAGAAAGATTAACCAATCATGATCAAAGTAAACCGGTGAAACAACCAATAACAGTAGTTTCAGCGTGGTAACGTAGCGAAATGTGTATAGAATATTTAGTTTGCAGTCTGTATTTATTTAATTAATTTGTCAAATGGTGTTTTCATGACAGTGTATGATTAAAAAAAAAAAATAATAAAGCATGGTAAACTGTTAGGTAAGCACACAGTATTGTAAATCCACACAAAATCACAAAGCAAAAAGTTTCTGCTGCACTCTTGAGGTTGAAATTATTGGAGAGTTGATAATGATAATAATTATATTTTAATATAGCCAAGGCTGTATTATCAGAATATCATTAAATGCTAATAATGATCATAAACTTTATAAGGCAGATTTCTGTTGTATGTGGTTGAAAACATCACGTTGTTCCAACGTACAGATCTTGTACAAATTTCAACGTTGATTTAGAAGTGTTTTCTTAACATTTTTCAACCGTTTAGCATTAAACGTTATATCAACGTTGTTTCAATGTTGGAACAACAACTGACATTATTTCAACCATATTTCAACGTTGAAGGTCGGTCGTATGCAAGCTGGGTAGTCAGCAAGATACTGAACTTGCCTCCACTTGCGCCGTGCATATACATCTTGTTTTTGAAAAAGTCCAGATGGTAAGGCTGGTTTTCTTTTCATTAATAACAAGTGATTAGGTGTTAATGGTTCAAGATCTGTTGGATCATCGGTAGTAGTGGTAAGTGGTCTGTCATTTATTATTGCTTGCACTTCACACAGGAATGTATGCAAATTTTCATCATTAAGTGTTTGTTCTCTCAAAACAGATCTCAAGATTTTTCTAACAGACCTTATCTGTCTTTCCCACACTCCACCGAAATGGGATCCAGAAGGTGGGTTGAATATCCATTGTATTCCTTTCTGCATGAGAGTGCTTTCAATTTTTGATTGATTCCATTGTTGAATGGCCTTACGCAGTTCAGTCTCAGCACCAATGAAATTAGTACCGTTGTCACTTCTCATGATTGACACCTGCCCTCTCCTGCACACAAAACGTCGGATGGCATTTAAACACGAGTCCGTATCCAGTGTATGTGCAACTTCAATATGCACAGCTCTTGTAGTTAAACAGGTAAACAGTACGCCATATCTTTTAACATTGCTTCTACCTTGTTTGATTTCAAACGGTCCAAAGTAGTCTACCCCAACATTGGTGAAGGGTGGTTGATCTGGCATTATTCTGTCGTGTGGCAGCTCTGACATCTTCTGCTCTACAGCCTTTGCTCTTATCTTTCTACATGTCACACATCTAGAGAGAAACTTTCTGACAATGGAGTTTGCAGAAGGAAGCCAGAAATTTTGTCGCAACTTTGAGAGAATATAATTTCTTCCACAATGTCCAATTCTCTCATGAATGTTTCTTAAGATTAACGTTGTGACGTGTGAATGTTTGGGTATGATAGGATGATAGGGAATGATAGGATGCTTCACATGCTCAGGCATTGCAGATCTACCAAGACGACCTCCAACTCTCAGCAATCCATCCTGAAGTATTGGATCCAGTTTAGAAAGGCAACTGTTCTTTTTAACAGATTGTTTACCTTTTTGCAATGAAGAAATTTCTTCTTTGAATATTTGACTTTGACTGAATTTGATGATTTCGTTTTCAGCCCTTGTTAAGTCTTGCATTGTTAAAGCCGTGCAGTTCCCTTTCGTAGTCACTTCGAGTTATGTCAGAAGTGACGGAGATTGGGGGTTTCGCATAGAAAGCCAATCCTCTTCGAGTATTTAAAAACGAGCCAATGGCATGCAATGCCTTGGGGCTGCGGAAATTTGCATAGCGTACTCCGCCCTACTCTGTGAGTATAAAAGGAGGAAGTGAACGCAACCGCAGTATGTTTTCGCTTCGGAGCCAAGAGAACCTCTTCACTCCTGAAAGCCATTCTCACTGTTCAAGACTCTTCGAGACGAGCGTCCTCTTCAGTGTTGGTGTGACGGCGGTACCCAGCGAGATTCTGCATCGCCTGCGATCTGAACAGTGGTCTGCCAGACTTTGCGCTTCTCCCTGGTAGCCTCAGCGCTGAAAGAGTGAATTTCCTCCTCTCATTGAAAGAGCTGCACATGGCACGTCTTTTTAAAGATGGTTCGCCCGTGTTCTTCTGGGTGTGGTCGATTTCTATCGTCATCTGATGGTCACGAGCGCTGCTTTGTATGCCTGGGCATTCAGCATGCAGCAGCAGCGTTCGTGGATGACTCATGTTCCTTCTGTGGGAACATGACCATCTCTACACTGAGGTCGAGGCTCAATGATCTCACTAGAGTGAGAGCCCCGGTCCCCCCTACTCGATCGGCTTCCTTCACGAGGGGCCCGTCGACCCGGGGATCTGGTGATTTAACAGTGACGGTGTGGGATAAAGCCCCGACGATTCCTCGGGCCACACCTCCCGCCTCAGTGCGAGAGCCAGCGAGCGTTAGCTCGATTCAGTCGGCTGCTTCTTCGGGGGCGCCGGCTGCTTCGGGCAGCGCTCCAGATGATGATGCGATGTCGATCACAGCATCACTAGGCGGGCTAGAGTCCTCGGGAGATGAGGATGCGGCTGCGTTGCTTCCTTCGGGAGTACCAGCATTGTCCGCATCGGATCCCGAGCTGACGGCCATGCTGTCTCGAGCCGCTGGGAGTATCGGGTTAGAATGGAACCCTCCGTCCTGCCCCGATCTCTCACGGATGGATAACTGGTTTTTGGACAAAGCTGCCGCCGCAAGGCCACGGCCAACTCCAATACCTTTTTTCCCCGAGCTGCATGTGGAGTTATCGCGCTCTTGGGGGGCCCCCTTGTCCACTCGAGAGCGCGATCTCTCCCCCGCCTTTCCCCCCCTCGATGGTGGGGCCGCCCGTGGGTACACTGGGATGCCCCCGGTGGAGCGCTCTGTTGCGATGCAGCTGTGTCCACAGAGCGCCTCCTCCCGTGGTCCTCCTAAGCACCCATCCAAAGCCTGTGGGTTCTCGTCTGCGATGGCGGCGCGTTCCTATAGAGCGGCGGGACAGGCGGCCTCCGCTTTGCATGCGATGAGCACTTTGCAGGTCTTCCAAGCGAAGATGCTCAGAGATATGCACGAGGGCGGGACTGATCCAACGGCATTCAAAGATTTGCGGTCCGCCACTGACCTTGCTCTCCGGGCAACGAAAGTGGCCGCTCGCGCCGTTGGTCAGGTGATGGCCACCAGTGTGGTCCAGGAGCGCCATCTCTGGCTCAACCTGGCAGACGTTCGGAGCGCTGAGCGGACTCGTCTGCTCGACGCCCCACTCTCCCAGGCTGGCCTTTTCGGCGGTGCAGTCGAGGACTTTGCCCAGCAGTTCTCCACTGCCCAGAAGCAGACGGAGGCAATCAAACACATTCTGCCCCGGCGACCAGCTGCTGCCTCCACCCAGTCGTCGGCACAGATGCCTCCCGCTGCTCGCCGCCGAGGACGCCCCCCCGCGGCTCCCCTCCCTCCCGCCCGGCCCCAGCAGCAGCCTTCACCCGGGCCACGGCGCGGAGGAGGCCGCAGGCAGGCGTCACAGCCCCCTCAGGCCGCACGCCCCGCTAAACGCCAGGCTAAGCGACGTTCCTGAGACGGGCTGCTCAGTGATGAAGACGAGTCTTTCCCAGGAGGCGGTAGCAGGCCCCCTCCTTCCCCCGGTGGAGGGCCGGGGGAGAATCTTTTGTTCTCAGCTCCCCGCTGCTCACCCACGGGTGGGCGGCACCCTGAGTTGGTTAAAGAAAGACTTGACATCATCACTGAGCACACAGACAGGATTGGGTGCGCTCGACGTCCTAGTGCGTCAGCCCACTCATTCCTCTCTGTCTCTGAGGGCGCGGAAGGGATCGTGTGTCGTCCCCGGGCTACGCCACTCCCTTCCCCCTCTATCGCCAGACCCCCGGCAGAACAGACCCCCGTGGAACGCTCTGCCTTCCCTGGTCTCTTCTGTCGGGGAGCGGGCTTCGACGGTGCATCCGAGCGGGGTAACTCCTGCACGCATGCCGGTCGACCCGCCTCGCTGCCCCTCCGGGGGGACGTCTGTGGTTCGAATGACCCCGCTGGTTCACTTCCTGGAAGCCTGGCTAGCGCTTCCTGGGCTGTCCCGCTGGGTCATCAGAACAATCAGATTCGGCTACGCGATTCAGTTCGCACGGTCTCCTCCCCGTTTCAGGGGAGTTCGCTCCACGATGGTCGGTGGCAATGCCCCGGTCATGAGAGCGGAGATTGCGACCCTGCTGGCGAAGGGTGCAATCGAGACGGTCCCTCCAGCCGAGATGAGGTCCGGGTTTTACAGCCCCTACTTCATTGTCCCCAAAAAGACCGGTGGGTTACGACCGATCCTGGACCTGCGCATTTTGAACCGTTCTCTCCATCGACTACCGTTCAAAATGCTCACAGCCAAACGCATCCTCGAATGCGTTCGGTCTCAGGATTGGTTTGCAGCGATCGACCTGAAGGACGCGTACTTTCATGTCTCCATTTTGCCTCGACACAGACCGTTTCTTCGGTTTGCTTTCGAGGGCCAGGCATATCAGTACACGGTTCTCCCATTCGGGTTAGCTCTGTCCCCTCGCGTCTTCACGAAGATCGTCGAGGCAGCCCTTGTTCCCCTTCCCGAGCACGGGGTTCGCATCCTGAACTATCTCGACGACTGGCTAATACTGGCACACTCACGAGCTCAGGTTTGCGAACACAGAGACCTGGTGCTCCGGCACCTAGCCCGTCTGGGCCTTCGGGTCAACCGGGAAAAGAGCAAACTTTGCCCCGTGCAGAGGATCTCTTTTCTCGGCATGGAGATAGACTCGGTCGCCATGTCCGCGCAGCTCACGAACGAGCGCGCGCACTCACTGCTGACTTGTCTTCGACAGTTCGAGGGCAAGAGTGCGGTTCCACTGAAACTATTTCAGAGGCTCCTGGGGCATATGGTATCCGCGGCCGCAACAACGCCGCTCGGTTTGCTTCATATGAGACCGCTTCAGCTGTGGCTTCGCGATCGAGTCCCGAGGTGGGCATGGCATCGCGGTTCGCTCCGAGTTCCAGTGACTCCAGCATGCCGCCGAACCTTCTTCCCGTGGTCGAACCTCAGCTTCTTACGGACCGGCGTCCCTATTCAGCGAGTTTCCAGGCATCTCGTTGTCTCCACGGATGCATCTACCACGGGTTGGGGTGCCATGTGCAATGGGCATGCAGCCGCGGGTTCCTGGACAGGAACCCAGTGCCTCATGCACATCCATTGCCTCGAGCTGCTGGCAGTACGGCTCG